ATTATGTTAATTCTACCAGGCTTGGGAAGTTACCATCATCTGTTTATCCTGGGAGACCTAATCAGCTTCTCAAACAGCACTAGACAAAGTTGATATGGGAGCTATTCGGCATAAACTTATCCGGGATAAACATGTAAATCAAACATATATGTAGCAAAATGATAATAAAATAAGATGCAAGAAACTTTACTGCATGTACCATGGGAATGATTTCTTGCATTATAAATGTATTATTGGCTCTGTATTTGTGTAAATGAAATAAAGAGTCTTCTTCTGATGTTTTTTGCTCTAAATGAAAATAAAAATAGCATTTCCGAGTTATATATATGTTTAATTATTCATTTCTAGTGTATATCATTTGAATATGTATTTAATGAAACATTAATTTCTCTAGAAGCGCTTGTGTTTGTTATATAAACTACCGTTGTTTTTTTTCGAGTTAAAATGATATGATGTTCTCAAAATTGAATCGAACCGAACGTAATCTGTTCATCCAATATCAAGTAAAAGATTAGTACCAATTCGAGTCAAAACTCATGGCTACAGTTTTGGGCAGGAAGTTCCCAAATTAACTGATATACTGACTAATCAGTTAATACATAAAATATTATGAACAAGATAGGTGTATTACTCATAAAATATACATTCTCACAGAACACCCCAAATCAATAATCACTGTGTACTACATTCATTTGAATTCGAAAACATACCTCACACCCATGAAACCCCAAGAAAATGCATTAAAATGCATGACAGCTAAAGCATCCACTCAATGAGCCAATCGGCCGTGTCCTCCATAAGGATAATGCTCTGTCTGAGGGCCCTGCAGTTTGATTGGTCAGCACGGAGCTTCTCATTTCCTGGGCCTTCTTTTGGGCCGACCTCAGTTTGTTCATTATTTTGTCCATAGAAGATGACCTCTTCTTTTCCAGTTTCATCTATAAAACCATACAAAAATCGATCAACTTACGCAAAAAATCTTTAGTGATTATTTGTAAATAAGTGCGGAAAGAGACTCATATAGGTTTATAGTTACCTCGAGTTTTCTTATTGCGGCTTCGGCTTTTGCTTTCTGCAGGTTTTCCCATGCTGTTATTTTCGCTTCCTCCCTTTGGATCCTGCAGTTTGGGTATTTTACAAGGTAAACATATATATAAACACGCATTTAAGTCTATTTGCTGTGTGGTACCTTGCCAAGAGTGTACTTCATTTATTTAATTAACTTGTAGAGAACAATGTAAGAAAATAAATATTTCACTATGTGGTTGAAATCATAACATAAAGTCCATAGAGGATGGAAGACAGTTATTTTTCAGTTTTAAAATCTCAAATGCTCGATTTACTTCACCTTTTTATTGTCTTTAAATTTCTAAAAGGTAATTGGTTGTTCGATTCTTGAACTTTATATTACCTCCAAAATTAAATTTACCCACTAAAGCATATCATCACACTTCCAAAGAACAAAGAAAGATTTTTTTTTTTTTTTAATAAATTTAAATAAAACTCACTTTGAAATACTCTTAGATTCCTCCCCCATAGCTTCCCAACCACGAGACCGAAAGTTCATGGCATTCCTTTTACAGTCATCACTACTTCTGCTTCCTGAATTCTTTATAATCCTTCCATTCTTTTTCGACCACCTAGTCATTGTAACACGCTCGTCAACTAAAACATCCCTTATTTCAGGTTTGTTACGTGACTCGACAACTGGCAGTATAGCTTCAGAAAAAGACGATGAAAGCCTTTGAGAGGACTGTAGGCTGCTACTATCCGGACTCATTTGAGTAGCCATATCCCTTCTAGAAACAACACGAGATATATTGTTGGCCGCATTATCTTCTTGAGCCCCACCATATTTCTCTTCTGATAAATAAAAGAAGGACACAACATTTAGAAAATAAGATTAGAGTACGAAGCATAAGAGAGAAAATCGAGATAAGGGTAAATTGAAACAGAGAAAAGAAAAGAAGACTTGAAGTTGAATCTACTAAACAAGAAGCACGCCGTAGTTTTTCAACTCGGACACCCTTTGATACTAGTTCATATAGTTTAGAAGCTGCACCTAGTCCTTTGTCAAGCAAATACAAACCTCAACAAGTGTTTATATTACATCAAGGGCATATTTGTAACAGAAAAATGACAAGGATAAATTAACACCTGAATTATGAAGTGTGGAGATTCTTTTGTACTATGCCAACTTAAATTTTACTTTTATTTTTTAATTTTTTTTCATTTTACATGCTCAACTATGCATTTCATGAGATGTACAGTTTTTGCACAAGATATAATAGAGATGGCTCAGGAGATAAATAGAACGAAAGATACGCATAGTTGGAGGGGTAAAATGCAATAAAATCACTTCCTGGGAAAAATACAAAAAACACTACACTCAAAAGGAGAACTAACATAAACACATCTAAACTGAATTTTTCCATTAATTAGTGTGACTAAACTCAAAGGCAGCTCCTATAATTTAATCAAACACACACGTGGCTTTTTTTCCTTTAAAAAGAAAACAATCTCATACCATGATGATGTAGGGCTGAAGAGGACTGGCCCACCAACTCAGAACATCCATGTATGCTAACCGATCGAGCCATGCAAGGCTCGTTGCCCACAGAAAAACTCCCACTCACACCCTCCACGCTGGCTGAAAATGGCGAGCTTACTGTAAATTTCCCATTACTATTCGCCCCAACTTCGAGCATGGGCCCTGCAGGAGAGAACATCTGATAGTAGGCCACCCCTGGGGGCCCGAGCGGCCCGCTCTTCGACTTGGGCTTCCTCTGAGCTTGTTGACCCAAACCAGTCCTCATCAAACCACCGTCACCCAACACAGGACTGTAAATCCACCTTTCCGCATCCTCCCATTTCGAAGGAAGAGTCCTACCATTGTTATTGTAGGACAGCAGCGGAGTATTTAAGTTCCTCCTGTTGGCACTGGCGTGCAGCGGGACCCGCTCGGAACTCCAGCCCTTTTGAATCCCAACGTTCGATTGCCGGTAGTTGGGTGTTATCGGGCTCGGGAATATCCCCATCTTGCAAGGTGGTGCTGTGGGCTGTCTTTTAACAAGTCCCAGTCTTGGTGAAGAGGTATTATTTACGACATTATTTACAGTGTTGTTGAGATCCATAGAGGTAGGCCTCCTTCGGTCGGGTTTTTTCAGGTGTGCCTCGGATCTCAATTTTCGGTCCTGGCATTCTAATAATTGAACACACACCAAAGAAAGGAGGGAAAATCAATACATTTGACACAAAATGAAACTTTGACATTCTAGAAATGGATAGTCAATTGTATATATAGTACCTTTAAGGGCTTGGGAGAATGAATTTCTTGCAGAGCCTATGGCTGTATTCTCATCCTCTGTGGTCTCAGCCTCACTACTATCTACCTTTTGAACTAAGGAGAAAATTTGAAGTTAGTATTTTGGTCAAAAACTGCTCAAAGTTTAGTTTTTTAGACATTCAGCATTCAAATAAGCTAGAGCCAACACAACAGACAGCAGTGGTTCAAGAGGTAAGGTAAAGATTGTACCTTTGGTTTTTTGTTTTCTGCTGAGACCAATACTGTTCTTGGGTACAAGCATGGGTTTGTTCGGATCTGGATCTGGGCCACTACTCATTACCTCAGACAATTCATGTCCTGCCAAATGCTGTTTCAAATCAAAGATTTCAGCTTTCAACTTTTTTACTTACTGGACATACATTTATCTTCTCTCTCTCTCTCTCTCTCTCTCTCTCTCTCTCTCTCTGAAAAGATCATTTCCCAACAGAAAAAAAATGGAGAAAATAAATCTAAAGAAGTGCAGACTGATTTTTTTTTCACTTTCAGGGTCAATACATTTACAGTTTTCCAATCCATTTCATGTTGGCAATCAAGCAAACACTTGTCGTGCAATGAAAATGTATACCATAAACAACACTACGAGATCTTAACTCAGAAACAGAAACAAAGATAAAACAGAATTGTGAAATAAACATGCAAAACTAGCCCAGAAATGAAACAATCTATGAAATGCAGTCGATTAAAAAAAAAACAAGGCCAAAATTTTCTCGAGAAAATTACAGAGGCAACAAAATCTTGATCAGATGCAAAAGAGCAGCGCTCGACACTAGCTGAAGCTGAGGAGAAGAGGCTGAAGTTGGAAGACTCGACGGTGAAAATCACAGAATCCGGGCTCAAATCACGTGCCGCCGAGCCCGATCTTGAATCCTGAAAGCCCTCCAGCTCCGGCATTCTTTAGCAGGGGAAGGAACGGGAAATGGGGTTCAGGCAAGGACCGTCGGGCGAGCGGTAGAGAGAGACTTATAAGAGTGGGCTTAGCTACTACATGAAAAAAAATTATGTGAATAATGATTTTGGGTGTGGTGGTCATTTGGTTATATATACGGGAAATGTTACGGTCATGTTACGGAACCATTTTGTCGGGGTTTATAACTGTTGAATCCCTATATAACCGTCGGAATAATTGATCTAACGATTACAAACTTTGCTAAAATAGTTCCGTAACGATACCGTAGAATCTACATAAATTGTATATTAGTGAAAAATGGCTTTCCACATCGGTAATCATGTGTGGGTGTGGTCTGTGGTGGAAAGTTGTTGGCAATTTGGCATGTTAGATTTACGTAAAAAACGGTGCTTTTTTGGACTTTGAGAGATGGTCAATTGATGGTGTCTTTAAATTATTATGCCTGTGCTGTGTTGTGTCAAAACTGAAAGGTTCTTCATTGGGATTCTGTCTTCTTCCTGCCTATGTCTGTTAATCTGTTTAGGGGTGAAATGAGGGGTTGACTGAAAAATTGACCGGACAATGGAGAGTAATTTGGCTAAGATTGCGGGAAAAGCTAAAATGGAGTTAAACACCGTAACAAGAAAATAAACTATTTTCACGCGGCGGACTAGTTTCTCATATTGTCAATTAATAACTTAATTATTTTATCAAATAAGTGTCAAATAAATTGTGCAATAAGCGATGCGATAGACAAACGAAAATAGTTCATAAAGTAAAATATTTATGTGAGAAACTTACAAAAATAATTGATAAAGTGTGAAACAAATTATACGATGAGTTATACGGCATAATAGAATCAAGTGAAAGAGGTTGATACTAAAATTCGACAGACTCTGATTGACTGACTGTTTACACAATTTTCTGCATATTAGTTGTCTATATGTCGCATAATTTTTACGCACTTCTTTAATTAACTTTACCTATTTTTACATATATTATCGCATAATGAGATCGCACTTGCTTAATTATTTTCGTCGTTTTGTTGCATAATTTATTGTATAATTATTTCGCACTTGCTCGATTAACTTTGTATATATAGCATAGTTAATCGCATGGTGAGATCACATTTGTTCTATTATTTTCGCCTGTCTATTGTATAGTTTATCACATTTTCGCACTTGTTCAATTAACATCGCATGTTGTCGCATAGTTATCGTATAATGAGACATTTGCTCGATTATCTTCGTTTGTTTGTAGCATAGTCTATCGCATAAGTAATTCGCACTTACTCAATTTATTTCGTATATTTACTTTATCAACTATATTTCTTTAGGTTTATTGTATAATCATTACGCACTTTATCCGTTATCTTTGTATGTATGTCGCGTAGTTTATCGTATAATATTTCGTAAATTATCAATTATCTTCGTCTGTTTGTTGCCTTGTTTATCCGCATAAATATTTCGCACTTTATCAATTATATCTATATGTCGTATAGTATGTTTAGTATTTCAAAGGTGAAAGAATTAACTTTTTAAATTGGTGTTGTGAAAAACTTAGACGACGGGTTCCTCAATAAAAAAATTGTTAAATGATCAAATAAATGAAAATTTATGTAGTGTATTCGTTTGGAATTTTGAGTGATATATTGAGATTTTTTTTTCAGATTTTATACTTTATAAGATTCTCATATTCTTGAGGAATCATGTGAAATCTTATGTTTGGAGATGAAATTTGAAATGGGCTTTTTTTTTATTTTTTATTTTTAAAAATCCTAACAAATCTTAAAAAGTTTTAACGAATCATAGTTTTAAAAAAGTTAAATATTTCAAAAATTTGTTAGTATTTGTAAAATATCAAATGAATACATCATTACATTTAAAAATTAAAAAGTCAAGATTCAATATATCAGGATTTATAAAGTCTTTACAAATTCGAAATGAATACATTCTGTTGTAAATAATTTTAACCGGAGTAGAATCCAAAGATTCGACACCGGGTTGTATCACGAGGAAGGTTAGCCGGAGTATTCTGTACGTGTATTCAATCACACCAAATAATAAAAGAAAGGGTCCTAAACACTTAAATTCGATTGGTTTGGTTTAATATTAATTAACTACGAATTAAAGAACAAGCAATAAGATAAACTAGATGAAACTAGGAATCTCAAGTTCAAACTCAATCAATTATAATGGAGCTAGGGTATCAGGGTCAATCAATTCCGGTTCTCAATGCAGTTAACGAGCAATTAAAAACTCAGTTAAAGGCCTCACAAAACTATTCATCTAGAGATCTATCCTCAATAACTCTTCGTAACAAGAGGATAGACATAGACGAGTAATTCTTGAGACAATCAACACATAAGCAATACTATTACGAACAAGCTTACTCCTAACGAGCCTAGATCGAACGATTTCTCCCTTTTCAGTTATAAAATCGATTAACTAGATTATGATGGTGATCAAACATCAAAACCCTAGGCTAAGCACAACTCGAGAGGATTGAGCAATTATCATGCGTATAAACAAAATCGAACCGGAATGATCTTCCCCTAACCCTAGCTAATGGGTTTAGTTACTCATTATGCACTCAACATCAGCAAACATCATAATCAAAGCCATTCAATCAATAATAAAACTAAAAGAAAGCTTACGATTAACAAATCCAATGTCGGAAACAAGAGCAAACCGAATCCACAAGTCGAATCTTGGAGTTTTTCTCTCCAAGATTGAATCACAAGATCAAATCTGAAGAAAAGTATGCGTTTTTCGAACCAAGTACTGAGGGAATTCGAAACCTAGTGTTCAAAAAAAACGATCCCAAAATAAAAGAAAACTGCTACTTAAAACTGCTGGAAACGCGCACTCCGCGGCCGCGACATGTCCCGCGGCCGCGGTGAAGGGAGGTCCGCGGCTGCGACTTCATCCCGCGGCCGCGACTTTTCAAGTCTGTCGCCTGTGTTGTCATCGGGCATCCCGCGGCCGCGACTCCCTCTCCCGCGGCCGCGGTGAGTAAAACTGGGAGCTGGGCACTTGATTTCCGGACTCGTATCAACGCATTCGGGCTCGGAATTGGATTCCGTCTTTTTTTACTCGACCCCAACTCGTCCGCCTAGATAGTTATCTTCGCATAGTCACTTTCCAATCGAACTACCTGACCTGTAGGCCACCACCGACAAGAAAAACGTAGAAAATCGAGAAAAAGACACAAGAAAAACCAAGAGCGAGCAAAATAAAGAAAACACGCGACACGACACAAAATGGACCAAGAAACAAAGAAAATAACCTAGAGTGGGAAAAAAAAATGAATGCAAAATAAACACGAAAACACTAACAAAAATGGAACGAACAACTCCCCCACACTAAAACCATTGTTCGTCCCGAACAATAAAAAGAAAAGAGAAAGTA